CGATGACCCCCCACCCCCCACTTTAGGAGACCGGCTTGGTTGGAGAGCTGTCTGCCCGGGCTCAGGAAGGAAGCGCAGGCACCGTTCCGGCTCGGCATCGGGGGGGGGGGAAGCGGGCGGGAAGGAAACGGGATGCCCCCCCCGGTTGCAATGAGTAGGGTGGGCAGCGGGGCTGCTCTGAGGGCCAGCCAGGGAAAGGGGGAAGAAGAGGCTGTGCCTTTCTCCTTGGGGAGGGGGGGTCTCCAAAGTGGGAAAGGAGCCCTGGTAATCAGGGCGGGGGGGCTTCAAACGGCGGAGCCAGGGCTCCCAAAGTCACCCGGGGTTTGGACAGAGGGGTCAAGCCCGGAAAGGGTGCGTGTGCGTGTCGAGGATTAAAACGTGGCTGGGGGGACAAAAGGGATGAATCAAAAAGGGGGGTGCCCTTGGTCAGGCGGGACCTGCAGGAGAAATGGACGAGCCGGGGTTGACACAGGCAAGAAATGGACAGAGCCAAGAGATGGACACACCCAGGGTCCCCAACCCAGAAACCCCCTCCCTTCCCTTGAAGCGCCCCCCCTCCAGACAGTTCTGGATTGCCAACAGCACCCCCTTCAGGCGATGGTTTGCAACTCCCAGTGCCCCTCGCTTGGGGATTCGAACCCACCACCCACCCTGCAGGGAAAACGAAAAGGCTCCCAGAGAACTCAACCCAAGCAAATGGGTTTCCTTGGGTGCTGGAACCGGATGCGGGTTCGAGGGTTCAGCCACAGAAAGCGGTGGAATCCTAACAAAGAGGGAGGAAAGGGGGGGAAATGAGCAGGTGCCGAGGTTTATACCTCCCTCATCCCCGAGAAGTGGATTTGGACCCGGGGGGGGGGGGCCNAGGCACTGTCCTAACCTGAGAGTCGCTCTGTCTGTGGGTCTGGACCTCACTGACTTCGTCTACATAACGGGGATAATTAGCATCTGATTCTGGAGCCTTTGAAGGCATTTCGAAGCAAAACCATGGCTTATAGCAATAGATTTCTGCAACTCCAGAGTTCTAGCTCTCCAGAACCTCTCTGTGCAGAGGGGGGGTGCCCTTTGCCCCCCTCACCTCACCCCACCCTCCAAGCATTTGGCCATAACTCATACAGAAAAACAAATTTTTTAAAAAGAGGCTCCGTTTCTGGACTGGACGGAATCCCGGTCTCTCCTTCAGATTTTATGGTGTACCCATTAACACCAGACAGGCACCCCCCCCTTCAATCATCTCCTCCTCCTTGGGCTGCAAATGGCCAGAGAACCCCTGGGAGCCGTAGATACAAACAATGCCGTAAATTATGGGATCTCGCCCCAGGGCTCCAACTCTGCCCAGAGGGAGACCAGACCCAGGGGTTGGGAAAGGGGGAGGCCGGAGAGCCTCTCCCACCACCAGCGAGCTAAATCCTCCGGTCCCATTTTTGCTGATGGCTCTCCCTTGCCTTGCTTAAACCCAGGGAGAGGCTCGCTTGGGGACTGGGGGGGGAGTGAGTTGATCAGAGCCCGGAAGGCAACGAGCCTAGGAAGGCCCCGGGCGACTCTGGGAAAGCCGCCTCTTTATTCTGTCCCGGGATATGGTTGGAGGGAAAGGCAACTCATTTGCTCTTGCCTGCCCGGAAAGTCCTGATTTATGAGCTGCTTTGCTTGAAAGAAGATGCCAGGCGCTCTTGAATTATGCAGGAGGAGGCCTTTCTTGGCTGCACCCGCAGGAGATCCACAGAGGAGGAGAGGAGCAGCAGCGGTTTCTCCTTCCTTGGGCCGGATCCGTTACAGGGTGCTCGGGGGGCTGGGAGTCAGAACAGCTCCTTCGGAGGAGGGCTGCCGTTCCCTGAATCCCAGCATCATCTCCCCCGGGTGGGAGGGGAAACTTTGGCAAGCTTTGGCTGAGCCCGCTGAAATGATGTCCCGTTCTTGACGGGGCAGCCGAAGGTGTACATTTGATCACGAAAGGCCCCTTGCGGGTGTTTTGGGTGGTGGATTCAAATCGCTGTCTGAAACAGACCCACGTAACTGAACACTGTTCTTTCTCAAGACTCCGTCGCCTGCATACGCTCCTCCTGCCGGCTTTTGGTCTCTCCTCTTCATGGGCTCGATTCAAAATCCACCCCCCCTCAACAGACCTTTCCCTTCCCTCACAGAAGTCGCACTGTTTGTGAACATTCCGCAGCTCTTACCAGATGCTGTGAACTTTCCCCAACATCACAGAAGCTCGTTCAATAATTCGAGGGGAGAGATGCCAGACAAACTCTCTCAGGCCTGTGCCACAACATGAAATGGCCCAGACTTGTCCTTTCCTGGTGGCCGAGTTGGACAGCCAGGGTTTCCTTGTGCCCGGGCCGGGGGGTCCGTCCATCCGTCTTGCCCGCACAGAAACTTTACAGCCCAGGTGTGCACGGGTAGGCGTGAAAGACCAACAGGCCGACCTTTGCAGGTTTGCAGGATGTGTGCATTCGTATATGAGGACTCTGTCCGTGGCTTCCGGCTTCTCTTCTCCCCCACCCCACCCCCATTAAAATTTCATGCAAAATCTTGAAAACAAACACACAGCAGAACATTATGTAATGCCAATGAAATAATCATTGAGGGCTTGATGCACGTGGAAGTCTCTCTCTCTCTCTCTCTCTGTGGTTTTGCCCCCAGTGGTTCTGCATGAGGGAAGGGAACGCACATGTGTGTGATCGCCCCCAGAGAGAGTCGGGTTGGATAAAAAAACCACCACTCAACGAAGCCTTAAATAACCTCAGGTTTCTACTCTGGCATCAACGCTAAAATCTCGAACCAATAACAAGTGTGCTCACCACCACCATCACCACCACCGCCGTCCCTGTGTGTCTGCTTTTCCCACAGTCGGTGGCCTCTTAGGCTAAGGGGCAAAGCTAGAATCGAAGCCACTTTCTTTCATCTCCAAGACCCCCAACGCTCAGGTGTTGTGGGGGACTTTCTTTTCTTTTTGCTAAACTACCAAAAGAAAAGGAGAAAAGTTACTCTTTTGGACCAGTGGGCGGGCTGGCTGGCTGATTGTGGGAAGAGTAGTGACCTAGAAAATTACTTTTTCCACTGCTTGGAATGACCTAGGATCAGAATTTTATTGAACATTTCCCAGTGTGTCAAGGAAGCGCGAGGTTTCTTCCCAAAATCAAGAAGGCCAGATCACCAAACAAAGACGCTGAAATGCCAGAGGTTCAAGGCAGACAAAAAGAGGCCTTTTTCCCTCCCCTTTCTTGTGTGTGTCGCTAATCTATACAGCTTTCTGGCACAAGTGGGGGGGGAGCGACTTTCTCCCAGGCGATGGTTACATCCTTAAGAAAAAATCTTCAGGGTGGCTTCCCGGTGATCTCTGCCCCGGTAGCAAAGTTGGCCCTTAAACTGGTGAGGACCAATTGCAAAGCAAAGGAAGCAGATTTGCAAAGCACGGGAGATCAGAAAAGCTTATGGGATGGCTGTCAGATGACTCCTGACACTTAAGGAACGGCCCCAAAGAGCTCCATCTAAGGAATAGCTCACTGGTTGGATAGTTTCCCGGAGAATAAGGCTACTAGTCATCATGGGGTGCACGGAAACACCACCATCTCCTCCTCCTCCTCCTCCTCACCCCAATATTTGGACCCTAAACAGCAATGTAATGGCATAATATTGCATCCAATCCAGTCTCCAGTCTGTTCAGCTTTTGACTTATTTTCTTTCCTGCTGTCTCCTGGTTGATTTGACCTTGAATGATTGGTTGTAACAACCTGCTTCTCATGACGAGACCAAAGCGTTGTAGTCCGTGCAAAGCCCCACCTTGAAATGCTCCTCGTAAAAGCAAAAACAAAAAACCACCCATGCTTCCACCTGTCATGAAACACACACACACACCCCACATCCATGCCTCTCCCATCTGCACCCTCGTCCTAAAAAATACAGAGATCTCCGGGCGAGAAGCCAAGGAGCGAAGTTTCACGCCGAAAACATATTTGTTTCATTTCTTTCTTGC